AACTTCTATATATAAACCAGCCAACGGCCAGTCAGCCAGTGCATTTCATTGAGTCTTCCAAGCCTTCTCGAAAGCTAAGGTAACATCTTTAGTTTTTCTTTTTAATGTTTCCTATGCTCGTTTTTTATTTTCGAATAAGTTCTTCTCCGTTTTAATTTTAATTTTGCTTCTTCTTTTTGAGTTTTTTCTTGAATTCAATCCTCAAGGCGGGATATCTTTTCCCTTTTTGTAATTTGTGATAAATCTACATTTTTAATGGATTTGTGATTATGCTTATACTTCTTGCATGCAATCCTTGAGGCCGGATAGCATTGCGACCTATATTTTACAATGTTCTTACGTACTACGCATATTATTTTAATAAATACCCCATATATATAAATTGTTCAAATTAAATTAAATGGCACTAAAACATATAGCCAGTACATCAATTCACTACAAAAATAGGATTAATCATGTTTTTCTTTTAATTTGTACCCAAATATGACTTATTTAATTAGTCCTATTACAAGAATACTTTGATTGAAACTCCTCAAAATAAGATATGATTGAATATTTGAATAAGCCATTTTTAGAGAACAAAACAAAAAAATTGTATTTATGAACTTAATTTTGTTTTAGTCGTAATTAAAGAATATTCGCCAACTCAAATGGTTTGATTTTTACCCTTGCAGCTAAAATGGAGATATCAGCCACGATGCTCTACTGCTTCCTTCTTTGTGCTGCTTTGGTTGTTGGCCCGTCAAAGGGCATAAAAAATGTCACCAATACTGTACTTCACAGCGCTGTGGCCGAGGGGGCTGGTAAACTACGCACTTAATTAATCTTTTGCGGATTATGTGCATATATAAATCTGATCATTTTGAAGCTTAACAGTCTTCTATGCTTAATTAATTACGTTTATCACACACATATGTGTTTAAATTAATTATATACTTCGTATCATAATCTATGGTTATTATTGTAGTCTGTTTGGACGGAAGCCCACCAGTGTACAACTGGGATTCGGGAAAAGGTTCTGGTGCCCGCAACTGGCTTGTTCACCTCGGGGTCAGTTTAATTTATTTGGAACAATTATATAAGACTAGTACTCCGTAATACGTAGTATGTATGTAATTTAATCTCGTTTTGCTTTACTGTTACAAAAGAAGTCAACATTATCATTTAAGTATTTTGTGACATCTACTATAAAGTCAACGTCAACGTCATTTGGTTTTGGACGCACTTTTGGGGTCTTTTCTTAAAACACCGGAATTGCTTGCATGTAGTGCCAAATAACGGGACTTTTCCAAAATTACGGTACTCCGAAGTCACCTTTCCGACTAAATGCGGTTTATAAAAAAAATTCCAAAAACTCCCAGTTCCGAGTAGGCGAATCCACTACTTTTTTATGAGTACGCTTTTGATTTCTAATTCAAAGAAGACTTTTAATTATCTTTACCAATTTTATACCTCATATATTAATTATTACATATTACTGGAGATGTTAAACACGTGGACTAGTTGGAGCCTTATTATTAATTTTAATCTAGAAATCATAATAATCAACATTTTTATCTATCATATGATTTATGTTAAAAAAATATAAAATGAAATTGTTTTTCATGATCTTTCTTATAACAGTAATATTAGTTATGTAATTTTTAAATAAAATTATTACATGTCTATATTAACCGTTACTCCCTCCATCCTGTTGAGATTGTCTCGCCTTTCTCTTTTGGGGTGTCTCACTAAGATCTTTAATTTGATAAAAATTTGTGTAGTTTTAAATCATTTTTACCTTATTCTAAGTTTATCGAGTCAATATCAATTCAACTATATACACTCACTTTATTAATAATCCCACCGTCTTCTCATGTCTCAATGTTAGTTGGACGGAGGTAGTACTAGATAATATAAAAAAATTGATTGAAGAGCGATAAATAAAGATAGCTAAAAATGGAAGCAGCTAATGTATTTTGTATTTTTGTTCCCAAATATGAGTTATTTTGTTCTATTAAAGAATAAATCTTTACGAATTATAAGTGAAAGAATTATAGTTACTTGATAAAAATCTTATTGTTTGATTTAGTTTTGTTTGGTATAACAACTTATTGTGACTATTTATCAGATAAAAAATAAAGAAATTCTATCTAATTAATATATGCACTAAATTTCAATTTTTGTTTTTAAACCTTATATATACAATCTGGCTTCATATGGAAGTTCGTAAAAAGTTATGAATTTTAATATATGTATTATAAAAGTTGGAATATAAATACAAAAGTTACTAGAAAATTGATATTTACGGAGTATTATTTATATGGGTCCACTTATTTCTCTCTCCATGTAGCAGGCTTGGGAATGGGATTTACAAAACTCCCGTGTTTTCATACAAGAAAACACACTCCCGTGTTTTTGCATGACATATTGACTTTTACAAAAATCCCGTATTCTTGGGAATTCCTCCACTTTGGGTTCAATTAAGTCAAGTAGTCAACGTCATTTAATTAAATTCGATCAGTTCTAGCTTATAGATCCATATGGACCATATACATCTCTTAATTATTATAGATTGAATTGAGTTTTTTTCCCCTGCCAAAGGGAGGAGGGTGGTGCATAAATAGCACCATCTACGACAACAGGGACTACGCATATGCCGGGAACTGCAGTGGCCGTGCCAGAACCGGTGATGGATCTTCTCTCCACATGGTTGATTATTTTGAGTTTAAGGGCATTTTTGGCGACCTAAAGAATGAATCTTACTTCTACAATTGGAACCGTGTAGTAGTAAGATACTGCGATGGCGGGTCATTCTCCGGAGATGTGGATCAACCCGACCCGGTATGTATACTTTTCCCTTATTTGAATGATATACCCTGCATATCTTAAATAATATTTCTTCGTAAGATGCAACCATTTAAAGTTGATGTATAATAATGTTTTATCTTTTACTACTATTTGGCAACCAAGCTTTTCTATAGGGGAGCAAGAATCTATAGAGCGGTGGTGAAGGAGTTGATGACTAAAGGCATGAAAGATGCCAAAAACGTAAAATTTCTAAACCTTGGGTCCTTTCTTAAATTAACGATACATGAATTTATTTTATTTTCACATGCTCCGTTTTTGGCTGTAAAATTAACAGGTGATTCTTGCGGGAGGCTCCGCCGGGGGAATAGGAGCAATGATTCACTGTGGTCATTTTCGGAGCCTGTTTCACCCGAGCGTGAATGTCAAGTGTTACATTGATAGCTCACTTTTCCTGAAATTGTAAGCCAGTGTAGATTTTTTTGTATTTATAATTTTAAAACATGATTTATTAGTTAGTTAATTTAATTGTGTTTCCTAATTATATTCATATTGGCAGGAACAACCCCAAGGATGCCAAGTTCTTCAAAACAGTTTTTGGCATGGTTGTTAAATTGCAGGTAATTAATAAATTAATGGCGTAGTGTTTTTGAAGGAATTAATGTCGTAATTATGCATTCAAACTAATTAAACTAATTAAATTTTGAAATATTACATGCATTACAGGAAAGTGTCAAGTCACTTCCCCAAAAATGTACATCAGAAAGAAGTGCTACATCGGTACATTATATTAATACTACTATACGTAGTATTTATTTATAATTTTTATATAATCAAATTAATCCCCCGAATATATATAGTGATGATGGAATAATACTATGTATTCTTTCATAGAAAAATATTACTAACTAGGTTTCAAGCACGGGTAGTACATAATTTAGCTAATTTTAAATTTGATATTTTTGAAATCATATATAATGCGATGCAAAAGAAAAATAAACTCAATCTAAATATAGAGTTCGTTTGTTAATAGTAAAATTAGCGAATCAACTTATTTTACTAAAATTGATTAAATTCGAGTTGAATCACTTGAATGGACTGAAAAGGCAGAATCTCTCGAATCATGAAAAAATTAAAAAATATTTCACTTGTAAAATAAAGATACAATTATATGGAAAATATTCAAAATGTTCTTTTACATAAGTATCTCAACTAAACACAATTGTGGTGAACCCAATTTTAAAGAATTCACAGAGAAACTTCTTAATTAATCTCATGTCTTCTAAATTATTATATTATGCACCTCAATTTTTTTTCATATTCCTTATTGAACTTGGTATGAACTATGAAGTATTTACTTTTAACTTTTAATAGTAAGATCTTACATTTGACTCATTATTTCGTCACGTTGAAAATGTAAAAAATGGATTTTTTTATATTTTACTCATTATTTTGTTACGTTGAAAATGATTTTTAATTGTTATGAACGTCTAGATTACTTTATTGAGCATTTCAAAATAATATTTTTCTAATATTTCTCATTCAACTTGGTATGAAATAAGGTGGAATTAAAAGTACTTTTTTAAAAGTACATTTATCAGAGAAAGTACTTTTTAATTAAATTCAGTAAAAGTACATGGATTTTTAATTATCAGCGAATGTACATTGATAATTATTTCCATTCAAGGAAATAGTTAGCACTTTTAAATCATTATTGATCATTACTTTTCAATATAAGGTACATTGATCATTAATGATCACACGATGTGATATTCTTAATTTTTCTAATATTTCTCATCTTACATAAGTTGGATTTTTATCATAAATTCTTTTCTTTCCATATCAATATACAATCAAAAATCGAATCTAATAAAATAAATAAAAGATATGGAATCTTAAAAAGTTCCTTATATATATATACACACACACACACACAGGAATATTGCTGTCCGGAATTTCCGGACAGGAGGGCCGTCCAGCCTCCTCCATTTGGGGGCCTTCCCGGTGGTATGTTTTGCTCACATTTTTTGTGTAGGTTCCTTATCAAGTCTAGTTCATCCATACCAAATTTCAGCCAAAAATTCAATCGGGAAGATCGTCAAATGATTTTTGCAAGTTAATTGGCCCGGAATATGTATTTCCCGGACCAGTTAACTTGCAAAACTCATTTGATGACCTTCCCGATTGAATGGCTGAAATTTAGTATGGATGAACTAGACTTGATGAGGAACATACACAAAAAATTTGAGCAAAAAATATCACCGGGAAGGCCCCCAAAAGGAGGAGGCCGGACGGCGCTCTGGTCAGGGAAGTCCTGACCGGAAGATTACTCTATATATATATGTATATATATATATATATATTGATTCTATATATGTGCAGTGCTTCTTTCCAAAAATCTTGTTGAAGTATGTCAATGGTCCAATTTTCTTTTTGAATTCTGCCTTTGACTCATATCAGGTTAGCTAGCTCCTTGCATTTTATTGCTTTTATATTTATTATATATATAAATACGTAGTACGAAGTATATATTATTGCTCGCTGGGTTTAATATTTTACTACTGTAAAACTAATACTCTAAAGTTTTGATTTTTATTTCAAAAGATACGGAATTCCTTTTCTGAAGATTTATACAATCGTATAAAAAATTATACGATGAGTCCAAGTGATATGAAGATATTAAAAGGTAAGTTTTTGTTTCGATTTATCTACTCTATACAAATTTAATTTCCATATTTTTTCCTGGTTACATTAGAAATGTATTAGGGATACACATTGAACAGTATTGCCGCACTTTCTCTATAATTTTACTTTAAGGTTGTTAGAGCATCTCCAATGCACTTCTTTTGACATTGGAGAAATTTTGCCACATCATCAATTTAAAAAGTGGGATGAATTTTTTATCTCCAACCCATTCTTTTATCGGCCCTTTTAATCCGACATGGACTCGACACTTTCAGCCCCTCTGTTGGTATTCAGAAAGCGTGTTTCACGCTGTGAAGAAGGCAATCTCGCACAATTTTGCAAAAAAAAAAGCGCTCCATCCCTGAAAAAAATGGCGGCAAAAGGTAGTATATATTATTCGCTTCCGCCGGCCCGCCTCACCCACAGACTCAAGCGGTCTACTGTCGATGTGAATCCCCCAAGCATTCTATCCAGGTATTCCGATATGAATTGTTTATAATCGGGTTAGAATTCATCAAATGAGAGGTATTTTTTATTTGCTGGTTGCTTGATTGCGGAAGTAAATTTGATAAATTAAGTTAAATGGGTACTTGCTGGCTAAATTCTCTGAAACACGTATTGAATGTTGGTTTCAGCAATATGAACGCTGGTTTCAGCAATTGTGACAATACTATCTAACACAAGTTTACCATTGTTCATCTGAAATTTTGAGAAAGTAAACGTACTCTGGCAGATTCTCTAATATTTTTTTATGAGGCCAAAGTTTCCCACTTGTCTGGTTGTTGGTGAATTGTTTTGGGATTAAGATGGACATAGCCAATCTCTTAAATAAGGATGGCCGAACAAGCACGTTTGGTTTCATATACAGAGCATTATTCTTGAAGGCTTATTAGTGTGTAAATGAAATATATGAATATTGGAGATGTGATTTACCAATTTTGGGAAAACAGAATCTTTCATTACTTTTATAAATGAGACTTCGTATGCATACTAGAAACTAAACTACTTATCAAATTTAATTATGCATTAACAAATTAAATGACATGCTAATGAGTAATAGCTTTTGCAAAATTGCAGGGCATGGTTGTGAAAATTTCAATGTAACTTGTACTCCGTATATGTAAAATCATTGCATTAGTTGGAAACTAAGTTAAAAAGTGCTAAACCTGAAACAATAAATTTCAAATATTTAGTTATATACTATGTGGTACGTATTAGAGAACTTATAAGAAGTATGGAACATGTAATGTTTATATGCTGCAATTTTGCATATCATATATGCAATAAGCATAAATATTTATCAATTTAGAATGGAACAAATTATATATGCATAAAGTGTATCATATAATGTTTAGAATGCTCCAAACAAATTGTTTCTGGACATAAAATGTTCACATAGTAACAACTATACACACCAGTTAAAGGAGTTTTTTGTTTTATTATTTTTAACAATTTGGTGTATCTAATGACTATTTATTTATCATAGCAATACAGATGGATTCACAAGACTCATTTGGGTTTACAAATACTACACAACCTGCTACTTTTTGCATGTCCCCAATGAACATGAACCAGTTTAATCCTCCATCCAATTACACCGTGCCGTTGCACAGTCCGAATCAATTCAACCCACCCGCTGGCTACTCTATCCCACCTCACAGTATGAATCAGTTTACTCCACCTGTCTATCATGTTGATCCAAAAAATGGAACTATTCCTTTCCATATGGACCAACATAACTCACAACAATTCTCCTACCAAGAGCTACTGAACACACCCATTGTGGCCTCTCAAAGTCCTGAGACCATTAAGGCATCAAATAAGAGAGCTAAAAATGCTAAAACCTCTAATACTTCTCAGCATTCTACTCCTCAACCTTCCATTCTTAGAAAAGACTGGTCTATTGAAGAGGAGGTTGCACTAACAGAGGCTTGGCTCTACATTTCTGTGGATGCTGATGTGGGTAATAATCAGAAAAACGCTGCCATGTGGAACCGTGTCCTAGAAGTTTGGAAAGGAAAAATGGGGCCAGATCACAACATATCAAGAAACAACAATAGCCTCCAATGTCATTGGCATCAAATACGAGGTGCCGTAAGTAAATTTGTTGCGAAGTATGAGCAGTTGGAACGACGTCCACAAAGTGGTTCAAATAAGGATGACTTGGTAAGAGTCATGTCATATTTCATTACTTATTATCAGCTTTTTTTTTTCATAATATGCTTTTGCAAGAGAAAAATGCTTATCCAGGAAAGCGTATGAGTAAGGATTAATCATTTTCCCTTTTTATACAATTGAGAGTATGAAAAGGACTGATTTGAGTTTAAGAAGCGTATGAGTTAGCAGTAAGCTATGAACAGTGTAATAAAGTGCCAACAACAATGCTATAATAAGGTTCCATTGCAAAAAAATCAGGGTAGTGTATTATTCCTGTTTGGTTTCTTATTTAATTTTTTAGTTTTTTGTACAGTGGGCTGGATAAGGGGCATGGACTTGCCATTTTTCCTGGATCAATAATTCTATCTAAAAATGCAAAATATTCAAACATATGCCACTGGATGAATGTATTTTCAAGTATTTTCCAGTTTGACTTATTATGCATGCTACACTTTTGATAGGTGATAAAAGCATTACGCTTGTATGAGGATTTTTATGGCACTCCATTCAAATTTCTCCATTGTTGGGAAATATTGATCAAGAATGCAAAATGGTGCTCACAAATTCTTACAACGGCAGGGGCATCAATCAATAAAAATTCTGATAATGGCACTTCACCAACATTGAATGAGTGCTCAACTACTATGCCTGAAGATCTAACACCACCAAAAGAGACTGATCCGGATGGAATTGTTCGCCCACAAGGAAGAAAAAATTGCAAGGACAAGAAACGCAAGTTACATGAAGAAAAAGGTGTGGTGGATGCCTTAAATAAGTTGCAATCAACTTTGGAGAAACAAGTTGATGTTAATCGAGCAAGCATGCAAATGAGAGAACAAGTGTTGATGAAAGAGATTGAATTAAAAGAAAAGGCTCAAAAACTAAAAGAGGAAGGTCAAAGGAGACAGTACCAAAACCGCATTATGAACCAAGATCTAAGTAAGTTGTCACCATCTGTTAGAGCTTCTTATGATGTTATGCAGGCAAAGATATTGAAAGAATGGGAGAGTGATGGTCTTTTCTAATATACAAAAGTAAGTGTTCATATTGATCGAATTTTGATTTCATCTTACTTCATTTCATTACTAATATATGATAATATCTCTATAATTTAATTTGTCTCTTTTATCATTTCCCCACATGCAGGTTGCATTTGAGAGGGACAAAGTTTGAAGGCCTTGGTTTACCATTTCTCATGAACACTCTATGATCCAGAAGTTTTTCATTTATTTGCATTCTTTGTTATTTGTTTACTGATTTTGAACACCTACATAAAGTATTAAGTTTTTGTCCTTCATTTAATTTTGAACACATTCAATTGTGTCTTAGTTTTCATGTTCAGAATGAATGTCATCTTTGCTTTTCATGTGTGGGTTTTCTATAGTATGGACAGTAGCACGAGTTGTGCAGGAAAAAACAGATCCGGAGTATTATTTATACTTTAATTTGTTGAGACAGGTGGATCGGGATGTACTTCTGATCTATTTGTAAAAGTAAATAATCTAATACCATCTTTTACAGGGGCTTAAGGGACCTAAGAGTATAACTAAAAGTAAAAACTTGTTAAAACGGCATTGTGGGTTCCAAATTTTGCAACATCCCATCTTTATGCAATTATACGTAAAACTGTTGTAAGAGTAAAACAAAGCATAACAATATTATAGGCTGCAGAATTGTCAATCACTATGCATTTTATTTCAGCCTATTCTTTAGGAGTAAAAGTATCAAAAAAATACGGAGTAGCTTATTTGTTAAAAACAAGTCTGTGTATGAATCATTAGGATTAATTATGTTGAATTCTTAAACATGTATAACATGTCATAAACAAGTCTAGTAAAAAACTATTTATAACATAACAAGTCCAATATATAAAACATCCAAAAACATGTGAACCTTAAAGATAGATTGTTGCACTGAAGCATCCATTACAAAACTCTGAAAGTCTGAATGAAAAACACAAACTGAAATGCAATACTAATAAACTACTACGTAGAACTTAGCCAAGACACCTCAATCTTCACCCTGATCACCATACAATTCCCACAGGTGGTTGATAAGATCACGTTTCAGATCTTTATGCACTCTTTTATCTTGTATTTCTTTCATTCTACCATTTATTTTCGACATAAGATAAGTGAAATCATGCTCTGGAGTAACATCTTCTACTGCTTCATCGCTTTCTGGCCGCCAATTTTCAGGATTGATGCCTTCGGCAACCTCACTTTCAATAATCATATTGTGCAAGATGATACATGTCTTCATTATTTTCCCCAAATCGGTTGCACTCCACATGCGAGCAGGACCTTTTACTATATGCCAACGACTTTGTAAAACTCCAAATGCGCGTTCCACATCCTTCCTAGCAGATTCTTGACATTTTGCAAATAGCCTCTCCTTCATAGAAGTGGGTTGGGAAATAGTTTGGATTAATGTGGCATATTGTGGATAGATACCATCAGATAGATAATATCCCATTTTGTATTGATGGCCTTGTATTGTAAAGTCACATGGTGGTGCAATATCATTAACAAGGTCATCAAATAGAGGTGATCTATCAAGAACAGTAACATCATTGTTAGTACCAGCCATACCAAAGAATGCATGCCAAATCCATAAACTACGTGAAGCCACAATCTCTAGAATAAGAGTGGGAACTTTTTTGAACCCGTTAGTAAATGTTCCATGCCAAGCAGTCGGACAATTTTTCCAATGCCAATGCATGCAATCTAGACTACCAAGCATTCCTGGAAACCCACGAGCTTCACTATCTTGTAATAGACTTGCAATATCAGACTTATTTGGTTTTCTAAGATATTTTTCTTCGAACAATCCTATTATAGCACCACAAAATTTTTTAAGACATTCAATTGTAGTACTCTCACCTATTTGAACATATTCATCAAGGGAATCAGCTGAACAGCCGTATGCAAGCATTCGTATTGCGGCTACAACCTTTTGTAAAGGACTCAACCCTATGTTTCCAACCGCATCAACCTTTTGTGTAAAGTAATTATCATAATTCTCTACTGCATGCAAAATTCGCTCGAATAACTTAATATCCATACGAAATCGACGACGAAATTTATCCGGAGTATACTTTGACTTTTCACCAATGAAATAGTCACTTTTAATCAAATCATGACGATCTTTCCTATCACGGAAAATATATTCTCTACCAACCGTTGAACCCCCATGTGCACGTTTTTTACCCGTTAAAAATGTAGATATCAAAATTGGAACCTGAACCGTGCCGGTTTCAATCACAAATGAGTCAGCCTCTTCATCAAAACTATCATCTATGAAGATAGACTTGGTAAGAGAAAGTGACTCTGTGCTTGACGATGATGCATTACTGGAACTCAGTTCAGAATCTCGTGATGACATTTGCTGCGGCATGTTAGTATATAAAGTTAAGAATAAAATTTTGATATAATGAATGTAACAAATATTAAAGATTAACTTAAAAACTATCAAGTTCATAAATCAATATATGCAGTAGAAAAAAAGACAAACGGTGATCACTTGGAATTTATACGTGATATTATCAAAGTAAATTTCACACACCAAATTAAAGAATCCTATGATTTTTTTCTCATCAACCGTCCGAGTTGATAAATTCATGCTCACAGGTTTTTGTTTTCATTGTTATATAAATCGATGTAAGAGTAGGCATGATCAAAATTAATTATGCAGGGGCTTTGGGTTACGTTCATGGTAGAAGAAGAAAAATCAATTAAAGAGGAATTGTTTATGCAGGGGTATTGACTTACGTTGCTGCAATTGATTTTTTTGGTGATCTTGTGCCGGCCCTGGAGACGATATGGCTGCCAATCATTCTGCAGTTTATTTATATAGGTTTTTCAAAACAAGAGATCATACGTAGTCACGTGTTTTAAGAGCATCTGCCGTGTTTTAATATTAATTAAATGACACGTAGATAAAATTTAATATGTTAACATTATGCATTGGAGATCTCTTATTTATTTCTTTAAATGTGTATCTTATGTGGACAAACACTACTTTAATTAAATGACATTTGGCAAAATTTACCCTCACTTGAAAGAAGTGCATTGGAGATGCTCTTAGGGATACACATTAAGAATTGACACAGAAAAATACGGAGTAATAAATATACGGAGTATTATATATACATTTAACACGTGATAAGTTGTTGAAATTGGCATCCTACACAAGTTATACAGAGTATTGGCAAGGAAGAACATAATTGGATATTTTGTCAATTATATTTTTCGGCTATATCTTTATTAGTTTTATAATTATATTCAATTGCATATTTGGTCTTATCACTAATAAATATTTGCAATTTGGGGATTTTTCAATAGAAAATATGTTTTTGACCGTAAATTATCTGTAAGAGATGTCATAAACTTCGAACTATCTATGCTTTCTAAGGGAAAAGTCCTTAAATTGCTCACTACGTATAAGTTAAAGGATCAAATGTGCAACCAAGTAAAGTTACATGATTAATAACATGATGGTCAAAGTTACAGAACTAAAATTACAATTATCTCAAAATAATAAGCTAGGGTACGGTGTAGTATATATTAGAATTAATGTAAAAAATAAGACCCACAGGTTTTGATTAGACAAATTAAGACCTAATTCCGTTCTGGACAAAAGAGAGAGGAGGGATAACAAAAATCTGAAATGCCCTCAAGTCTATTTCGTTTCTACCGAGTTCTTCACCAGCCGATACTTCTCCACCGTTCCCAGATTCCGTCTTCACGAAGATCCAGAGATGGCTGTGAGATGGGGATGAAATCGACATCGAGGTGGCGACGAAACTCTTCAGAGACGGTGCATCACACTTGCGACAACGAATTCCGCGCCGCTCCAGCGATGGTGGTGAGCTATTAAAAGCGATTTTAACCTCGACATACAATTCTTCTTCTTCTCCTTGTTCTAGCTTGCTTGCGACATCATCTATTTCTAATTCAAGGCTGCGGCGGCTCGATTTCGTATCTGCGACGAAGTCAGACGGCGGAGGTGCTCCGCACTAGGTTTTCCAGGTCGGGGCTAGGGTTATGGATGGAGCGGCGCCGCCCCAGGCGTTGACTGGTCCGACTGGGTTTTAGACTGTCAGATCTGATCGGGTCGTGGTGGACTTGGGCTGGGAGGAGTGGATCGAGGTTGTTGGGGGTCTTCACAGTTCAGAGTTGGTGTGCGGCAGGATGTGGCGGCTGAAGGGGTTGGAGTTGGTCGGCGACCAAGCAGGACTTGGTGGATGGCAGTGACAGAGAGGGGGATGGGCATGGGTTGGTAAGGTGCCTTGGGCTCGGAGGGGCTGGGAAAATGGCTGGGGGCTGGGGCTGGGGCTGGGGCTTGGTAGTCGGGTCAGCGTGGTCGGCGACAGTGGCGGTGGCCAGTTATGGCTGGCGGTGGCAGTGGTAGGGGTGGTTGGGAGTGGTGGTAGCTCTAGCTGAACGGTTTGAGAGTAACTATATTGGATGACGAGTTGAGAAGTGTAACTGAATGGGTCGGGTAACTGTAATTGGATAATGGGTCAGGTAACTGTAACTGAACGAGTCGGGTAACTGTAACTGGATAATGGGTCAGGTATCTGTAACTGTATAATGGGTCGGGTAACTGTAACTGGATAACGGGTCGGATAACTATAACTGGATATCGGGTCAGATAATAGTAACTGGACGGGTCGAGTAACTGTCATTGGATAATGGATTGGGTAACTGTAACTGAACGGGTCGGGTAACTGTAACTGGATAATGGGTCGGATAACTGTAACTGGATAATGGGTCGGGTAACTGTAACTGGATAATGGGTCGGGTAACTGTAACTAGATAATTGGTCGGGTAACTGTAACTAGATAATGGGTCGGGTAACTGTAACTGGATAATTGGTCGGGTAACTGTAACTAGATAACGGGTCAGATAACTATAACTGGATAGCGGGTCGGATAACTACAACTGGACGGGTCGAGTAACTGTAACTAGATAACGGGTCTAGTAACTGTAATTGAACGGGTCGGGTAACTGTAATTGGATAATGGGTCGGACAATTGTAACTGGATAATGGTGACAAGTAATTGCAATTGGATAATGGGTTGGATAGCTGTAATCTGATAGCGGGTTGGATAACTGTAATTGGACGGGTCGAGTAACTGTAATTGGACAATTCGGGTAACTGTAACTGGACGAGTCAGGTAACTGTAACTGAATGACGGATCTGATAATTGTAACTGGACGAGATGAATTATTGTAATAGGCTACACGTAACTATAAATGGTCGACTGAATAACGGTAACTGATCAAACATGCAACGCTATAACTGATTGGACGGATAATCGTAACTGACCGAACGGCTAACTATAATTTGTCTGGTGGCTAACTTTAATTATTTGAACGCATAATTGTAATTTATCGGATCAATTAACTATAAACAATCACCAATTAAATTTAATTGGGATTGGATATAAAAATCAATTTTGTGTGGCTTGCGTACAGCGTTTTCCCATAAAAATGGTTGAAATAATGTTACGTAGGCATGTTATGAGTTTGTTGCATACTCATAACAGCGTTTGTTGCCTATTAATCAAATAGGAAGGGGCATAATAGATCATTTGATCCCAAACTTGCTACTTAATCATACATTCATACCGAATTACGGATGTGTCTCTTTTTTGGCAATTATTGAAAGAGGTCCTATATATGTGTCTCCAAATCTTTTTAATTAGTACAACCTCCGTCCCAAAAAACTTTGTCATTTTCAAAACTTTGACCAACTATATCTTTTTATTGGAAATGATTTATAATATAAAAGTTATATGAAAATGGTCTTTGTTTAAAGTACTTTCATAAAAGTATAAAAGGTATAACTTTCATAATATTATACTCCGTACTAATCAAAATCGATGTTCAAATTTTTTGAAATGACAAAGTTTTTTGGGACGGAGGTAGTACTACGTAATATTCATGACCTAATCCCTATATATTATATTATTATATGGAACTTCTTATCTAGCTTATATCTTTAACTTCGTAGAAATAATTTGTTGCACTATAAAAAAAGGCGGGATTGGCACAGAATTTGGCACGGTCTTATCATTTTTTCATGTCAAATAGCTCGTGACAAAGTGTTTTTGGCACGGATTTGGCGTATCCCTGCCAAAATCCGTCTATATATTTGAATTTGCTTGTCTACAAACTTTTCAAAATTTTGAATTTGCTTAAAATGGTCAACGATATGTCGATATACGTACTACTAGGGGTGGGCAAACGGGTCTTGGAACCGCGGTCCGGTCCGGGTAATGGCGGTTCGGGTCCAAAACGGGCCGGTTCCATTTTTTGTTGCCATAAAACGGTTCGGGTAGGTCCGGGTAATTTTTTTTAAGGACCCGGGCCGGTTCCAAAATAAAAAAATACCGGGTACCCGGCCCGGCCCGTTATATATTGTATATTAATTTATTAATAGTTTTGTGATAATCGATTTTGAAATAGTTTTGTTTTCCTTTGCTAGAAGTAGAATTTTAAATTGACTTGCAGTAACATCATTTTGCTTTCAAATTATTGATTAAATTTTACATAAATTTCTTGTTATTTTTATTCGTATTGAATTATTCCTTTCTATGGAATTTAATTATTTGTTAAAAATGATTTTGTAATATTTGTTTTTATAATATTGTTCTTAAAGTATATAAACTGTGATTACCACCCCCATGTATGTGTCAACTTTGACTAATACTGAAAATTTGTTCTTAAAAATATATAAATTGTGATTACCACCCTCATGTATGTGTCACCTTAATATGTGATGTTAGACAACATTTTTAAATTCAAATGTTAGAAAATATGTATTTTGGCTATGTTGCTGATTTTTGGAACTTTAATTGTTTGGAACTTATATACATGAAATTATGAAGTATTGGACTTGTCACTTGTGTTACATGTGCACCACTATGTTGTTATTTTGAAACTTGCTAATGTACTATATTATTAATTATCGATTTTTGGAACTTTGTGAGTTTTTACTAATTTTAAGATATGAGAATACAATAAAAAAAAGATATGGGAATAGAAACCATAAAACCCGGACCGGACCGACCCGTTTCAAACGGGCCGGGTAAGGTCCGGTTCCTATTTCGAAAATTGCAATACCCGGACCGGATCGGACCGTACAATGGAACCGGCGGTTCCATTTTATTTTGCATTACCCGCCCCGACCCGGCCCGTGCCCAGCCCTACGTACTACTATAAAATATGGAGTAGGTAGTATTATGATGTGTTCTAGTATATACCATCCCAATCTTAATTACTCCGTAGTATACATGTGTGAAAACGCAATTTATAAGCATATGTTTTTTAATAACGAGTAATATGCTTGTTTGTAGGGTTTAGGCGTCAAATCATAAAGGCACTGCCTACGCCAAGGGCCACAAATGGGTATTTGGTCACTTCCCAGTTTGGTCATTCCTTTGGCTTGGGCGGTTTGAAGAAGCCCATGTTTCCTGAAAATAATACTTCAAAGGTATTCCCTCACTTTTTGTTATCTATTACGGAGTAATATGTTGTATACTCCATTTTTATCACGGTATATTTTACTTTTTGACTATTTTTCAAGTATAATTAGCAGGTCAACCATTCCACAAAATTGAGACATGCAAAGAGTGTGTCTATATATATACATATACATATACATATATATGTACACACAGAGTTGGGATCATATACAAATTCATCTTAATTTACAAAATGCAATTAATCTCAATCATCCATTTCAATGATCCAACCGTTAAAGATGAGAAACTTCCATACTAAATACCGCCTAATCA